CTCCACCATTTCGTCAGGAATAGTCACCGGCTCAGTCACCATCATGGTTCTTGCCGTTGCGCTCAACTACGATAGTCTCAAATGGTGTAGGTCTAGGTAACGCGGTGAAAAGCTCACCAGGGGACCGGTTGCCTAATGAAGCCACTGGAGTGTGATTCAGAATCCCTTGCACTACCGGAACGAGATATTCCCACTCATGCGTGTCCAGCTTCATCTCCATCAGCAGAACACGTAGAACTTGCAGCACATCTCGATTCAGTCGCTCGATAGTACCGTTGATCCACGGAGCGTAGGCTAGAGCTAGATCCTGTTCAATGGAGAGCTGTTTGCAAAGTTGCTGTACAACCTGGTTCTTGAAATGGCTTCCTTGATCGGAAATCAAATTTTTAGGCGGACCAAAACGCTTCGACCAATCCATGAGTGAAATGGCTGCCACGACACTTGTTGGCGAATCGCAAGCCACCAATTCACAAAAATGAGTAAGGCCGTCCTTCATTACGAGTAGGTACTTGCATTCACCCACACTGTCACCAAGAAAAAGAAAATCCCAGTGGAGCATCTCGTTTCGCTCAGATGCGTCGTATGTAGGTCCCCAGGGGAGTGGAATCACATTACCACCTTTCACGTGTTTGCAGAGAAGGCATCGTTTCAGGAATTGCCGGCAATGTTGTTCCAGGCCTTTGATCGAGAAAAGGTCTTTGACTGTAGTCATCATCGCGTCAAGTCCATGGTGTCCTTGACTACCGCGATGAGCCACAATGAGAATGCGCTGTCGTAGCTCCTTCACGGACTCTGGTATCCATATTTTTCCGTCGACAGTCATGATGCCATTGTGATCGCACACCGTTGCTCTGGGTGCATTCCGCTTGTGTTGCTGTTGCACTTGGCTGATCTCATTCAAGGTCGGAAAGACAAAGTCGCCTTGACGCGGACGCAGCTCGTCAAGTTGGCGTTCAGTCGCGTCGTCAATGCGCTGCTGGCTACGCGTGACGAATTTGCACTTCACGTGCACCCCTGCCTCACCACAAGAACCCCACCGCGAGAGTAGATCGGCCCACACGTTCGCCGTACCATCGATGTGGTCGATTTGGTAGTGAAGACCAGTGAGAGATAACGCCCACCGTTGTAATTTGCCACGCACGTGACGTTTAACTTCGTGTGTTGGTGCGAGCACGTAGATCAGGTTCTTGTGGTCGCAGAACAGCCTGAAGCCTGAAGAACGGACGAGAAGATGGCCCAGGTTGCGGGCAGCCCAAATGATCGGGTACGCTTCCTTCTCAATGATGCTCCACCGACGTTCCGTCTCGTCGAAAATTCCGCTTTTGCATACTAGAAGTTGGTGCTGCTGCTCGTTAGCAGGTAATGCAGAGTCCCAGTCATCCACTTGAGTCACGACGAGCCCCCACCCCAGTTCACTGGCGTCACTAAACACGGCCACTGTGGACGACGTCGTCGGAAAATGCAACAGTTTACGAGGATCCAAGCAGGACCTTTTGGCGGAGTTGAACACGTCTTCTTCGTCCAAAGTCCACGAAAGAAACACCCCGGCTGCTAGTTTTCTTAGTTCGCCCATTAACACATAAAACCGCCTCCAACTTGTCATGCAACGGGCGCGCATGGTGCGGCCAAAGTCGAGCAACGTATCGCGCATCCACCCAGCAGCACACAAAAAATTGTTGGAGGTCAGCGGCTGTAGTAGGGAGAGGAAGGGCTTGCAACGCACTGATGCGTTCAGGGTCATGGCGAATGCCAGTGCCACTGAAGATGCGGCCACACCAACGGATCTCCTTCTGAAACAAACAACTCTTACTCACGCTGAGTTTCAGCCGGTGAGTGCGGACAATAGAAAAAAATTCACGAAGTGTAGCGATAAACGTAGGCGCATCGTCCGCATAGACGAGAATATCGTCAATCCACACAAGTAGGTGGGCGTACAGCATCCCGGCAAAAACCTTTTGCATCTCGTTCTGAAAATGCGTTGCCGAATCACTCGCTCCCTGTGGAACGCGCGTAGGTGTCCATACCGTATCGGTCGTAACAAAACTCATCATTTCCTGGCTGTCAGGATGTAGAGGAAGCTGCCAGAATCCCTTTGGCATGTCGAAATCCGCGAAACCGTAAGCTCCGGCCGCTTCGTCGGCAGAATCCGTCACATCCTGGGCTGCTCCAGCGATCGGTATGGTCAGTGCATTTACAGGGCGATAGTCGACTGTCATCCGGAAATCACCTGGTGACTTGGGTTTTGCCACAGGCACAGCTGCACATGCCCAATGACTTTGGTTATTTTGTCGAATAAAGCCCATCAGCTCGAGCCGCTTCGTGTAGTCCCGAAGGAAAATGCGTTGGGCTTTGGCATAGCGCCGTGAACGCGCTCTAAAAGGCACAGCTCCGTCACTCGCAACTGAATTCGCAGTGGTTCAATGTCGGCAGGGGACCGAA